ATTTTGTCAGATTCTTCATTCACCCAACAAGAGCTTCTTCACAGGATCTCTTTGCTTCCAATCTAGTTTTTCAGTTCACCCTTCACAGTCCATTCTGAAATAAACACAGATGAAATCCTCTTCCCAAAAACTTGTCATGACTTCCTCACTTTCTCATAACAGTAATACATAAATCTATTTAGCATTTAGACGCTTACAGTGGGCTTCCCAGTTTACCATCTCTTTTGATAAAACTTGACTTCTTTACTTGAATAGTTAAGGATTTTATCTTTAACTGCAATGCTTTCAACTCTGGTAACTCAATAGAGTGTTGCAAAAATGTGTTGTAAACTGTAAGGTAATGTACAAAGACCAGGTGTATAATTGGTTCTTGACCTGACACAGTTATTACCTCGACTTCAGGCCTATGGCAATTAGGAATTCTTCCCAATACAAGTAACAGAAAACCTGATTAACAGTATCTGAATCAAGTAGGTTTTACGTGTGTCACAGAACAAAATCAGAGGAACCAACTGCTAGCAGTCGTTCATTGGCTGATGGTTGTCAAGACTGTCCTCTCTGGAACTGTTCTGGCTTTCCTCTGAAGAGTGCAGAGTGTGCCCTACAATTAGGTAACATATTTTCTACCAGGCAAGAAGACAGTGTTGGAAGGGGTGGGGGAATTTGGAGGGGAAGCTGCCTCTTTCATTTTTGCAAGAAAGGAAAAGCTTTCCTGAGAAACCCTGGCAGATTTCTGGTTATATCTGATCACCTGAACTTGTATGACAACAGTGGATTTAGTATTTGAGTATTGAATATTTGAATATTGAGTATTTAGATTTTTTTCAGCCTCTATGACAGAGGCAAGGAAGAGAGATTAATAAACCAACAATGACTGCTTAGAGAGTTTACATACTTTTCTAAAAGTCGCTTTTATATGTGGGACAATGAAAATAATCCTTACTTATCATTCAAATGAATGTCTGCTATAAAAAATTCACCTTCTCACTTTTCTGAATCCCCACAACTCTTGTCAGTGCCACTACTCTTTTTGGTATTTTTTTTCAGGCATTGTTCCTTTTTTTTTTTTTTAAGATTTTATTTATGAGAGAGAGAGTATGAGAGGGGGGAGGGTCAGAGGGAGAAGCAGACTCCCTGCCGTGCAGGGAACTCAATGCCAGCCGATCCAAGGACCCTGGGATCATGACCTGAGCTGAAGGCAGTTGCTTAACCAACTAAGCCACCCAGGTGCCACATTGTTCCATTTTAAAGTAAAGGATTCAGTATACTTAGTATATCTACCCATTCATCTCTCACCCTCTGTCTTTGCTTCTCTTCACGTGTTATCTCTTTCTCTGCTGTTAGGGATGTGCTTCATCCATTTAGCCTGGAAGATGGGCGCATGCTCCCACTGGCTTAGAGCCTTTTAATACCATGATTCTGAAGTACCGGTAACTCAAGATATGGGCACAATTTATTACATTGTCTTTTCCACTTCTTCATACACTCCCTCTACCACGGGACCTGACAATTCACTACCACTGGGCAGAATATATTTTCCTGCTCCAGTGGAATGTTAACAAACGTGACACGAGCGAGACCTTAAATGTGCTTGTGCGGTGTAGCTGGGCTTCCTGTGCCTCTGCCGCATGGCACAAGAATTTCACTCAGGTGATTGCTGGTCCAAGGAGCAGGAGAGATGTGGAGCCCACCTGGGCCTAGTCGGCAGCCTAAAGCTAGGTAGGCCCAACTGACCTAGAGACCGAGGATAGGTGTTGGTTGCTGTAAGCACTGAGTTGTGGTTTGTTTTGTTATGCAACATATTGCAGTGATAGCTGTTAATACAGTGGGATTCTAAATGGCCAAATTTAATCCATGTGCTCATTCCTGAATGAGTTACAATGGCTGGTACTTTAATTGGCCAGGCTTGGATTACATTCCACTTCTCCCTTCCTCTCCATCTCCCCAAATAACTGAGGTTGGCTCAGGAATGGGGCCACAGGTATTAAAATTTGATCCTATGATATGGGAGAAGTGTTACTCCAAAGGAAAGTGGTTGCTGTTATCAGAAGAGGAGAATTGTTTGCAAACATAATAAACAGGAAAAAACTATCATAATCCACCCTGGTGCTCTTTATACTTAGGTATTCACTGCTAAATTTTGAGCTGATTGTGTGCAGGAATTCTGCCTTACTCATCTTGTATTTATTTCAACACTTAAACTATCTTACAAATGTCTTGTATCAGTTAAGATTCGGTTTCACCACAAGTACCATAAAAACCCTGAACAACAGTGACTTTAAAAGAGGACTTCTTGGGCGCCTGGGTGGCTCAGATGGTTGAGTGACTGCCTTCGGCTCAGGTCATGATCCCAGAGTCCTGGGATCGAGTCCC